TGTACGCATATCACACCAACAGCATGATCCCAAGCCTACATTAAAAGGAGAAGGTAAGTTAACTACTGCTACTGAAAGTCTGATTAACTATAAACCAAGATTATACATCGATAACTTTTTGAGATCTTGCTTGAAGAATGGACACAGATGCTCGACCTGAAGCAACCATTAAGTATTTGCATAAACTGCAAACAAAGAGGAGATGTATGTCACGCACATGCAATAAATATAGTTAATCTAGTAACTCTCATTACCAAGAAAAGAACTAAATAACAGAGAAAGAGTGCAAGTGCTTTAGATACTATGTAGTGAAAGCTTAATGGTAAATCATACAAGTAGGAAAACATTCATAAAACTGAAAAAAAAAAAACACCTAACTTAGGATAGTATTTCTACATAGGGGAAACCTTAGCCAATGAGACCACCACTTTTGGGTTTCAATTACCTAAACGAGGGTGCACCTCTATGTCACATTCTTAACTAAGAGAAATTAGCCTACAGAACATTTGACTTTTTTGGTTTTTAACAGAATTAACAAACCAACAAAACATGGGTTCTAGATGTTTTTGATCTTTCCAAAATGTTTGGCCTTTTTTTGACCTTTTCAGCTTTTACTTTCAGAATCTTAAATATGTTTTTTTTTCATTAGTCTACTATATATAGATAAGTTCTGTTGTGACATAAAATTAGGCTGTTAATTTTATTTAATAAAAATGTTAAAAGTTCTCAATTTAAAGTTAATTTATTTATTTATTTATTTATATTTAGATATATTTTTGTATAACTTTTGGTAGGAACAAAAGCGGTGTACTGGGAAAAGAATACTTAGAAGGTGTTAATTGGAAAAGAAAAGAAGCTACAAGGTGCTGTGTGAGAAAAATTAAAACTAAAAGAGGTGTAAAAGATATTTACCATTTATTTACCCTTTGTCAAACAGGGCCAGAGGTAAATAAGGGCGAGTTGCGTGACGCCCACGAGAACCAATCAAGAGGGCCCAAGAATACCGAGTCGCCGTCGTCACTAATCTTAGGCCCATTGAGGCCGGCGCAGATCTGTTCTTTCTTCTTCACCTTCTTCTTCTTCTTCTTCTTCTTTTTCTTCCTTTTGCGCTGCTAGGTTATACCAAAACGAAAGGAAGAGAATGAAATTGGACAATAAAAACATATCCGAATTCTGATTGTTACCCCGAAGATAATCATCAATGAGAAAATGCGTTCAAGAACTTCTTCTTCTATTGTTCACCGCCCTCGAACGTTAACCTCTCCAAGCTTCCTCTTATATCTTCTCTCTCTATATCAACATGTCCAGGTTCTTCTGTTTACCCTTTTCAAATTTTTTTGCTTTTTCTATTAAAAATATTTTCTGGGTTTTCTTTAGCTGGGGTTGCTTTTTTCTGGGTCCGGGTGTTTTGGGATTTCTCTATCTAGGAGCTTGGGTTTAAGGGTTTTAGAGCTTTTTTTTTTTTGTTGTCGTTAAAATCAAGGTGAAATTGATTTGTATGGAAGAAGGTTTATTCTTCTGTTCGTTTAGATGTAACATAATGTAGTGATTTCGTTAAATTAATTATTGCCCAAGGAATTACATGTTAGAGGTCTGAAATTTTTATAAAAATTCTTTCTCCAACAACTTCGGATATCGAGTTTAATGAAATAAAGTATGAAAGTAGATTTCTTTCCTCATGTTGTGCGAAATTGGCAATTGGGTTCTGAATAATTACCTTTCTGTCTAAGAATTTAGAATTTGCTTCTAAGGTTTATAGAGTTTACATGGTCAATGACGACAGAAATTGTTGGGATGCAGACTTTGGACATTTGCAAAGATTAGGAAAGCTTCACAATCTGCTATTTCAAACCAGTCTATGAGCCATTCAGATTTTAGGAAGTATGGAACTGTTGTTACTGTTGGGTTGCGTTTGCCACAATATAGAGTGTACTCTCACTATAGGTTCAAGAGTGGAGGAAAGCCTCCAATCTTATTGCAGACTACCAAGGAAGGGTTGTGTCAAGGTTATTTTGTCAGGAACCATTCCTTCCTCTCTGCAAGTAGTGCAGTAACTCATCATGCCCAAGTTGCTTGGAAAAGGCTCACCGGGAGATGTTATGCCAGTGGTCGTACATTGCCTCACATATGCAGGATTGCTCAAGCAGTCAGCTTAGGCTTGTCCCATTCACACCTGATCGTTCCTGGTATTTTTGGCTTGACATGTGGACGAGTGGCATTGGCACAGAGGACTTTAGTCGATGCAGATTACTACCCATCACAGAATTCTTTGTATATGCGTGCACAAGATGGGCATGCTTTTGTTTCCTCTATACTCCTTTCATTAGTAGAAGGTGTTATCTTGCTGCTGAGGGCTCTCTATCTTGCAGTTTTGTTCTCTCCTAGCATAATAATGGCACCATTTGCTGACTCTTGTGGTTCACAATTCAGGAAAATGTGGCTTGAGATTGTGCATCGCACACTTGAAAAGGCAGGTCCAGCATTTATAAAATGGGGTCAATGGGCAGCAACACGACCAGATCTCTTCCCTAGAGATTTATGCACCAAGCTTTCAGAGCTTCACAGCAAAGCTCCTGAACACAGCTTTGCCTACACTAAGAAAACTATTGAAAGAGCATTTGGCCGCAAACTTTCTGAAATTTTCGAGGGTTTTGAAGAGGAACCTGTGGCATCTGGAAGTATAGCTCAGGTGCACCGGGCTTCTTTGAGATTCCGCTATCCTGGTCAGCGGGTCAAGCCCATGGTAGTTGCGGTAAAGGTTAGACATCCTGGTGTTGGTGAATCAATTAGGAGAGATTTTATGATTATCAACTTGGTGGCAAAGATATCAAAGTTCATTCCAACTCTGAACTGGTTGAGATTGGATGAGAGTGTCCAGCAGTTTGCTGTTTTCATGATGTCTCAAGTTGATCTTGCA